CAAACAATGGTGACAAGTTCACGTGGGAGAAGACGTATCCGTTGGATGAGATGCTGTCTGCAATGGTCAAGACAGTAATCCAAATCATGGAGCTCCAGAAAACCACAATGGGAAACAACCGTACACCAAACTCCCTCAATTTCTGCACTACTGATGGCCACCAACTCGTCTCGATCCGTTTCCGGAACCACGCCACTCAGCAGCCCCCTTCCCTTTACTGGTCTGAATTTGCAGGCCGAACCTTGAACGGGAAGTATCCCGGACATCCAGACGGTGAGGACATAGTGAATGAACAGTCGATATTCGGAGTGGAAGATAAGATCGGGAAGCATACGATAGTGGCCAGTGAGCCTACTACGTACGACAAGAAAGAGTGGCATCTCATTACGAAGAACTGTGCACTTACGGTGGACAAAAAAGGCGTGGAAAGGGAAGTCAAAATCGAGTACGATGAAAGTCTCAATGCAAAGGACCCGCAACATGATGGGAGGTGAGATTAAGGTGGGCTTCCCTATCTCATTCCATCAAGTAGACATCGGAGCCATCATACATACCCTATGTACGAAACTTTGAAAACTCGATAACCCCTCGCAACAAGAGATGGACCTCAAATGTGCAAGAACTCCCCTGACAAGTCACAACTCCAGACTCAAGCCCCATCCCCTCAATCACCCTAAACCATTCCTCCCTCCTCCCTCCCTCTTTCCCACCACTGAACTCTGACCATTCCCCCTCCATCTCCACACCTCTGTCTCACCATACTCTCTAGCGCCGCAAAACATATCCACGACCCTATCGCCCCCAGAAACCAGAATACCCAAGTTCCAATACTATCCTGGGTGTCGGAGAAAGTGTAGTTGTATGTCAAGCCGTAGAGGACTCCAACGAGGATGTACCGGATACGAAGAGTTTTGAGGTTGTTTTTGAGGCGGTGGAGGGGCGTGAGGAGAGAGTTCGACGGAGGTGGGGTAGTGGGATGGATGGTAATTACTGGGAAAGCTTTGGTGTCTGGCATAGTCTTGGTTTTGCAATGAGATTGGGCTGGGGGCAGTGATGCAAGCGAATGTAGCAGCTTCTTAAAAGTGTTAAGTTGTAACGAGTGTAATTAGGTAAAGCGAATGTGTTGATCAGTGCGCTAATTAAGCGGCTAATTGAACGTAAAAGGCCTAAAGCTCAAAGTTCGCGAGTTAGAATGAAGGTCATGACTGCAAAGATAGCCGTTTTATGTTGCGAGTGAGAAGGCGAAGTTGACGTTTGCCACTCAATACCTCGTATTTGTTGAGTCATTGCTGTCTAATCGACCTCGCAATACCATCGCGCTGGAAAGAAGTTATTCGTTCCTTTCACATTTATATGCTGTAGTACACTCAGCACGCTAATCTAATATCACAGACGCGGTTTCATCTATTTCACACGCGCGTCACCCACTTTAGGAAGCACTCAAGCGCGATGTACCCACATCAGCCTAAAGGGTCTTCCAAGACCACCTCTTCAACTTCACGACATGCGTCAATACATCTCTGACTCCATGTCATACGACCATCATAACTAGGCTTTCTGCGCCTCTAACATCATGGTTCACAAGGAAAACGAGCCTAGCGAGGAAGGAGAGGCCTTCCTCTCCCACACCAGAGCAAGCGAAGATGCGTCGACATCTGTGCCGGAAATGCGGAGTCCGCGGAGGAGAGGGGCGATGTGGTATCTGCGGATACTTCTCGACGCCGCGATGGCTGTGACGATAGTTTTTCTGCTGTCCTCTCACTCGACACTAACGAGAGAAACCATCAGGAAAACCCCGGTACCTCGACGTACGTCAATAACGCAGATACTGCAGAGAAACCGCCTGAATAGTCTGACCAACATTCTTTATAGTCCCACGAAAGATATACAAATTCTTCAGTGATCCCCAATATACGCGCAAAGACATGTTTCTAAACGAAACAACTACGCTGCAAACACTTCACTCTTGGCTTCCACTCAGCACAAGTAAGACTACCCTCATACTTTCTGCGATGATTACAGCCCCTATGCAACCAAACAAATTTAACCTCAGGTCTAGAAAGTCGAGGCTACGTCGTAATCAACGATCCCCAGAAATATAATCTCCCAGAGCCCTACCAAATTCAAGTCGACCGGCGTAAAGAAGGACCGGGCTACATGATGTCCTCCTTCCACCAACTCCACTGCCTATCGTACCTTGCCGAACACTTCCAACAGGGCTATGGCGGGATTGCGTTGGATGAGGAGGTTGCGCATCATTCGGCGCATTGCTTCAACTATCTCCGGCAGGGCATCATGTGTGCGGCTGACACGACCTTGGAGGGCAAGACAGAAGAAGGGCCTGGCGAGGGCTCGGAGCATGAATGCACGGATTACGACGCGTTGTTGGAGTGGGCGAATGAGCATGCGGCGATGGACTGGGCGAATTCGCCCATCCCTCAGGAGGGGGGTATTCTCTGACACTCTGACATGTTGGTTCCTACTTTGCAAGAAGTATAATATGTATAAATATTGTGGTACATCTAGGAATGGAGGTTCTGTGAATCCCTGCTACAATTACCCAAAGTCCATACTGCTTGCCGCAGCACGGCAATTCCTCCTAATTTCCCTCTTGCCCCACTAACTTCACTTACTGTTTTGTCCGACCTCATTCATACACCCTTCCTCTCCTGCTTACTTGGTTTTCCCCCTTTTCACCATCCCACATTGCTCGTCCTCCCAAACCGGGCCCTTATTCATCTTCCACCCGCCTCAATGGAGGATCCACTATCCCACCATTCCTACCATTGACCACCGTTGTCGCGAATTTATCATCTCTCACCTCTACATCTCTTCCTTCCCAGCAGACCCACAACGTTTTCCGAATGTTCGGGTAGCTGCCTTGAGGTTATACAACATATACATCATGCGAGGAGAGTTAATTACCAGCCTCATCTTCAATCCACCGCTCGTACTCCTACCATCTCATTTGCACCGAACACCAACTTTTGTAGGCAACCCAAAGGTTGAATTTCATCAGTTTTCTTGATAGAACACCTCTATACTCTTATTTAAACTTAATTTCCAATATCCTTCTTTTACTATAGGTGTTAGTTTATATATACTACCTTATTATAGCTTTTCTATCTCTTTATAAGGTAAAAACTCTGTAAGTAGCCGATATATATTAAGTTTTTTATTTAGAATAAGAATAATAATAAAGAATATAGTAGGAGATAGGGGTAGTACTATAGGACCCTAGTACTAAATTTATATACTTACTAGCTATAAGTATTAATATTAATATAGAGCTATTCTACTCTCTATATAACTACTACTATTACTAGATACCTAGTACCTATACCTATACTACCTATTTAAACCTTAAGAGGTTTCCCTTTTAAGGTTTTACTCTTAAGGATATAAGAGATAGTTATACTATATATAGATAATTACTATTAGGGATATTTCTATATAGGCTCTAATAGAGATCCTATAGATTACCCTTAGAGGTACCCTAAGCTAAGACTAGCTCTAGTTACCTAACCTATCCTATATATTCTTAGATATATCCTTAAGGGCTCCTTAAGGATTTATCTTAATATATATATATATATTACTATAATCTAAATTACCTACTATAATATACTTTATAATTACCTTATTATACTCTCTTAATAGTATAGTATTAGTCTAGATATAGATTACTAGTCTAGGGAAGAAGGATAGTATAATATAGTAAGGGATCTTTAACTAGTAGAAGGATGTTATAGGGTAGGCCTATACTTTAGCTTTAGTAGCTAAAAATATAAACTACCCTTATAATTACATGATTGTACTCAGCACGTCTTTTATACCCTATGGGAGGTCTGTATATAGCTACACAAGACGAAAATATCAACCAATCCAATCCAATCCATCTCATTCGCTTCTTTCGACCTTTGTCCCTGCCATCCCCACCCCTCCCCCTCAACACAACACCCACGCTATCCGCCCAACTACCGATACCGTCGGCAACCCTAAAGCTACCACCTAAGCTCTCAACATAGACCTATCCTTTTCTCTGCCCTTCTTATCATCCCACCCCTCATCTTGAACCCCCCTTTCCTCCATCTCCATCTCCATTCCTCCCCCTCTCCACATATTGTACAATCCCCATGTCAGCGCCACAGCCGTCCATCCAGTTGCCCACATCATCGACAGGCAATAGAAAATCAGCTCCCAGCCACCCTCTGGTATGCCGTACACGGCGTAGATTGCATAGTTGTACGTCCAGGAAAGTATGTATATGATGAGATTGTGCTTTTGGTGGGATGTGAGGGAGGGGATTCTCAGGAGGTGCCATGGATGTGAACTCGGGGGTTTCGCCGTTGGCATGTGTTCATGTGGATGGATATATGTGGTCGCCTTGTCGACTGGCGAGGTATCGTTTTTGCTATCGCCCATGTTTCGTTCGTTCGTTTGCTCGATTTGGTATCCGTGCCGTAACCAGAGAGGGAATTTCAAAAGAGCAACCGCTTCAATTTCGATCAACACTTTAACGTAAGGATGGTTGATGAGGAGAGGTGGAAGGATGACAGTAAGCAACTCTGAAACGGGTGCCTGGATTGCTGTTACACGGGAATACGAGAGTTGCTGGCCCATCATCAATCCAAGTTAGAATCATCAGGATTCAGAGTCGTACATCAGAAGATAGATATACCCCGACAACAGCACACAAATTCCAACTTCATGTCCATCTTAGGCGTCCGTCCTTGGTAGGCACTTGCACTTCCTAAACTGGCTTAGTCCCTCCGTCCTCTTTCCCCTTTGGGCCATCTTACAAACACTCCTTCCTCAGCACCATCAGTCTTTGTAAACGCTCTTTCCAAAGCAAGCAAACGAAGAACGAAAAGCCGGTCGACGCGCCTGCATCCTCCAAATTCCTCACATTCTGACTCACAATTTTGCAATAATGGGGATGAGGATGTAGTATATGAGTCAATCAAGCAGGGCTCTATTCTATCAGCAAAACGCACACATTCTCAGTAGTATAGTGGTTAGTATTCCCGCTTGTCACGCGGGCGACCTGGGTTCAATTCCCAGCTGGGAAGTCTCTTTTTGCTCTCCCCATCTTCTTCCTCCTCCCCCTGTCCTTCCCCTGGTTCTCCCTCTATCATTTATCATTTCTCTCCACCCGCCAAAGCAGCTTCAACTTCCTTGTCAGCATCATACCCATATAACCATTTTTGCACCACCGGACATGTCCACCGACTCGGAAACGCTTCCCCAATGTCTTTCCCAAACCATTTCTCGAATATTTGGTCTCGAGCTTCTTGTTCCGGTCCATCCGGGAGGTGGAAATCGCGGCGTTGTTTAAATGTCTCTCGGACAATCGCTTCCCCCCTCTTCTTCCTCAACTTCTCAAAGAGCTTCAGGCGTGCAGGGAGTTGGGATTTACCAACGAAGGGCGAGGAGGAGGTGGAAGACAGAAGGAGACCGAGGACGGCGCCGTCTTCGATGGAGGAATTTGCGCCTTGGGCGAGGTAGGGCAGCATGGGGTGGCAGGCGTCGCCGACGAGGACGAGGTTGGATTGCGGGTTGATCCAGGAGGGGAGTTCGGCGCGGTGCATCAGTTTCCATTTGTTGATTCTGGAGACACAACTTAGGAGTTGGGTTAGGCTGGGGGTTGGTTAGTAGTTGTTGTTCAGTTCCTTCAATGAGAGAAGGAGGAAGAAGAGGAAGAAGAAGAAGAAGAAGAAGAAGAAGAAGAAGAAGAAGAAGAAGAAGAAGAAGAAGAGGGGAGCTTACACAGGATCCCAACCGGTGAATCGCGATCGCATTTCCTCGAGACTACCTTCCATGCGCGCTACTTCGTCCGGTAAATCATCTGGAACGAGCAGCACGACGTTGTACATGTCCCCGCCTCGCATGCTATACCCAACGGCGTGACTCTCCGGCCCAACCCAGAACCTAACTCCCGGCTCCTGGACCATCTTCCGCAACTTCTCGTCCCGAATCTGCGAGAGTTCAAGCACGATGCGGAATGCCAAATCGCCCGTCGGCAAAGGCGCATCGCGGCGTCCGAGAAACACAGAGCGACATGTAGACCAGAGACCGTCGGCGCCAACGATGAGGTCTGCTGAGAAGGACTGCCCGTTTTCGGTGGCTGCGGTGGCTTTGGGGGGTTCGCTGTCTTCTCCGGCCTTTTCTTTCCCAAAATTAAGACCCATGACTTTCGCATCGAGGACGACTTTGACGCCTAATTCTCTCGCTCGCTCAACCAAGGCCTGTTGCAGATCCACTCGATGGCAGTCTGTAAATGGGGCGTTGTATTTGCGGTGGATATTCTTGTCGAAGGAATCTTCATGGGCGAGGATTTTGCCGGTGTAGTTGTATACTGTGCAAGTAGAGGGTTCACATGGGCCGCTCAGTCTTTCGTACACGCCCCATTTTTGTAGGAGGCGGGTGGAGTTGGGGGTTAGTTGGAGGCCTGCGCCGATCTATGGGACGGTCAAAAAGATTGTAGCAGTGTTGAGTTATATGAGGGGTTGATGGTTGGCGGTGGAACTGGGACCAGTATAGGAGAATGTGGGAGATGGCTCAACGGACGGACGACTTGCGAGGGGAATAAAAAGGGGCTGAATACCTCAGCAAGTTCCCTTGCCCCTTCCAGAACGGTAATATTGTGACCAGAGAGAGCGCATTGGATAGCTGTTGCGAGGCCAGAGAGACCTGCGCCTACGATTATGATGTCGAGACGTTGTGGTGTGGGTGCGTCTCCCATATTTTGACAAGAGAGAAGCTTATGTGGAAGGATCTATATTTTGATGGTTTGTAAAGTTTAGAGTGGTGTAAGAGGACGCAATATATAAGTCAGGTCCAGTAGTCGTTAGTTACAGTGGGGCCGATAGTCATCCATGCTGTGTGATGCCGAGGAGACCGTAGACTGTAGCATCTTCCGAAGATATTCTCGTATCATGAGCATCGTCTGGAGACGCACTTTTCCGGCAAAGGCGCGCTCTCGGATCTTGATCTGAAGCCGACGTCGAGATCCAGAGCGCGTGGAGACGGAAAGTCTGGAGTTCACTTCCCTAGCAAAATGCGGGGAAGGCTTCGGAGCACAATCACGGTAATGCTCGGACCGGATAAACAGCGAACAGCGAGCAATGAAGATGCACATGTACAGCCCTGTAGGGCGATTCAAAAAAATAACCAAACATGAAAACCAACATATAATAATACCCAACCGCAAGCCGCCAGGACAGCCAACCTCGCCAGGCGATATGTTGCAACGCCTCGAACGCCTTCCCGATCCCATCCAACGCTGGATCTGGGAATCCAACTCAAACCCAAGAAGCAAGCGAACCAAAACCAGGGATTAGACCCAAAACGCCAGCGTAGATACAATCGATCCCGTCGGTTTCTCATCAAGCTCGTTGTCGTTGCCTGTAACACGTGGCCCGTGCATCATGGTATGCTACTTCTTGAGAGCAGCATCGTACAAGCTGATCACGATACCAATAAATGCGCTGATCTGAAGGCCGTAGTACCCACCAGGAACATTCGTAGCGACCGTCTGGACGGTTTCGGCTCCGAACGGGCCCCAGCTGTTCCACACGGCAACCTTCTTCTCTGCTGTCAAGGCCTCCGTCGTCGGGGCAAATGTCCAGTATGCGAACAGGGCCTTGACGATGTTAAAGGTGAGCGGGTCCACGGCGTACACGCGACTTGAGGTCTTGTGACGCGTGTTGGTGCGCTGCGTCAGGTTGAAGAGGTAGCTGACAAGCAGGGGGAAGAATAGGCTGGTGAGCGACCAGAGAGTAGCGGGAGCCCAGAATTCGCTCATCAAGAGCTTCGTGAGGTCTGGGATGGGGAAAGTGTTCACGTATGGCTTCGCGTATTGGGGGGTGTCGACGGTCTGTGTCGCCAGCGTCTTCCATTGCAGGATGCTTGCCTCGAAGATGAAGAGCGCCGACTGGATGGCGGCCACGGAGCTCACATTCTCGCGGAGGAACTCAATGGCCTCGTCGATGCGTGTCTTCGCCCAGAGCTCCACTGCCTTGGCCTTTGCTACCTGAATCTGCTGGTCCGCGGCATTGGCGAGCTGAGCGGGGGACGCGGGGATGTCGACCTGGGAGATGCGCGATGTCACGCGGGAAACGGCGCGAGGCGTGCGCGTTGTGAGGGCTGTTGCGGAGGCAGGTTCCTCACTATTACCAGTGTGTCAGTCCCGGCGCGTAACGCGTGGGGGGAGAAGCCGACTTACGGCTCCGCGTTCTCGAAGACTTTGGTCTGGCGTCTGCGCGGCTTCGCGACAGCAAGAGCATCGGGCGACGCGCGCTCGCGCTTGATGGGCGACCCGGTGCGTCCGTAGAAGTCGGCAAAGGTGGTCTGTTTACCAAAGGTGGTCTCGTTGGACTCGAGATGGGCGTAGAGAGCATCGACCAGGTCGTCCTTGAGCAGTCCGTCGGCACTGTGAGGTTTATTAGCATAAATCGCCCTCCAACGCGCAAGACACGCCATGTAAACACATACTCGGGCAGGTTGGCCTTTTGCGCGAGCTCTATCAGCTCGCCTTTGCGCTTGCGCTGCAGCCAGGAGGTAGACATGATGGTGGATATAGATGGAATCGCGTGAAGCAGGCGACTGGAATGTGGTTTCGGGCGAGGAATGAACAGGGTGCGGAGAGGGCGGGTTCGGTGGTGGGATGGGTGGGGAGAAGAGCTCGGGGATCCACGCGGCGCAATGTTTACATCCGGGGGGGAGCATGAGCTGGAGCTGCACGTGACGCTGCTGCGGGCGCTAAATCCGCATGCACTTAGCCTAAACCTGCCACGACGATCATCCCATGTTGCGAGTGGAGTGCAGACGGTCGACGATATACTGTTTCCCTCTTGCTCTTGGAGTTGCTCTCAAAATACGCCGAGCGTGCAGTGTGCAGACCGCTGGAGCTTCCAAGTGGGAGGGTCGAGGGGCTATCGGGGCTATCGGGGCTATCGCACCCTCGGCTCGCCGTCTGGGCCCGGATCGGCCGTTCCAGGGTCTCCCGCCTGCGGCTCTGTCTGTCAAAAAATTCCGAGCAGAGCGACCTCGACATCACATCACCCGCATCGCCACAACAGTCGCTTTCTCACTCCGCCATCTTCCCTTTTGCATTCCATGCATCTGCCTGTGTTTTAGCGACGGCTTCTTCCCCCCATTGCACCTTGCACCTTGCACCTTGCACCTTGCGCCCACCGCGGTCAACCTCCCACGCCCATGGTTTTTGCCCGAGTGGCTAATCTGCTTACGACGAACCCAATCCCAGGCGCCAGTCTTGTCGACGATGGACGGAGCGGCGGCCAGTTTGCCATGGAAAACATGGGAGACCTGCCCGAGATCGGCGGCGCACCGGCGACCGAGGAGGTAGACCTGGAAGCTGTGCGCCCGCCATATCTTCATGTAAGTCGCATCACCGACATATGGCCTGCTTCATGTCGCTGACACTGCCATACAGGCGATGCTGGCAGGAGGAATTGGTGGGACGACAGGCGACATGTTGATGCATTCTTTGGATACCGTCAAAACACGGCAGCAGGGCGACCCCCACATGCCCCCCAAGTACACCTCGATGGGCAACACATACAGCACAATCTTCCGACAAGAAGGCATACGCAAAGGACTGTACGGGGGGGTCAACCCGGCCTTTCTCGGCTCGTTTTCAGGGACAGTGCTCTTTTTCGGCACATACGAGTGGAGCAAGAGGATGATGATAGACCATGGCATTGCGCCGTCAATATCCTACTTCGCGGCTGGTATGTCATCTCTTCAATCTGCATATATTCGAAATCACCTAACAAACGCTCAGGCCTCATCGCCGACCTCGCAGCCGCCCCCGCCTACGTCCCCTCCGAAGTCCTCAAAACGCGCCTCCAACTCCAAGGGCGGTACAACAACCCGTACTTCAACTCGGGCTACAACTACCGCTCCACCACCCACGCCATTCGCACCATCATCGCACAGGAGGGATTCGGCGCCCTCTTCTACGGATACAAAGCCACGCTCTGGCGCGATCTTCCATTTTCTGCACTGCAGTTCGCATTCTACGAGGAGGAACGAGGATGGGCAAAGA